TTCTCTGACAGAAGAAACCTGGCTCCCATTACCTACAATTTATTTACTTACTTGTGTAACCCTATTGTACATATGTGAAACAAACTTATCTAATAGATTAGTGGGTTTATGAGTCTTTTGTCTTTAACCATGCAATGTCTCATCAAAACACTGTTTTTGAAAGCAATGTAAGCCAGCTCTTTCTTCCTTTCTCCTTTCAGAGCTATGCTATACATTTGTAAGACACTTAGAATACATTCCTTCCTAGGATCCTCCAACATCCTGGTGAATTTTTAAAAATTTGCATACAGTAAAAGTCACTCTGGGAGATTCATAGTTCTGTGGGCTTTGACAAGTGCCTGGAGTTAGGGACACAGGGACACCACCACAGCACCATGAACAGAAGTTCCGTACCTCTAAAAATGCCTCAGGGCACTTTTGATGTCAAGTATATTTTGAAGTCAAGTACTCCTCCTCCCCCTAACGGCTGGCAGCCAATGATCTGCTTTAATCTCTGCAGTTTTGCTTTTCTAGAATGTCGTATAAATGGAATCCTACAATGTGTAGCCTTTTGCGTCTGGCTTCTTCCACTGCTTAGCAAAATGCATTTAAGACGCATCCATGCTATTGCAAGAATCATGAGTTCATTTCTTCTTATGGCTGAGTGGTATTCTGTTGCATGGACGTACCACTTTTAGTTTATCCATTCACCTGTTGAAGGACACCTTGGGTGTTTCCAGTATTTGATAATTGTGAGTTCCTATACACACTTAAGTACAGGTAATTATGGACATACATATTTAATTCACTTGGGTAGATATCTGTGAAGGAACAGCTAGGTCACGTGGTATGTGTTTACTTGACTTTATAAGAAACCGCCAAACTGTTTTCCAGAGTCTCTGTGTCATCTTTCATTCCCATCAGCAACATGTGAGAGTTCAGTTGCTCCAAATCCTCAAGAGTGTTTGGCATTGTTAAGCTTCGATTTGTTTTTTTTAATTTTAGCATTCAAATAACATGTAGTGGTATCTCACTGTAGTTTTAATTTGTATTTCCACAATGATTGTTGAATGAGCACCTTTTCATGTGCTTACTTGTAATCCAGTTTTAAAATTCAATTGTTTGCTTTACTACTGTAAAGCTGTAAGTTTCCTTTATATATTGTAGGTATGAGTCCTTGACCAGATAGGTGATATGCAAATATTTTCTCCAAGTCTGTGGCTTGTTTTATCATGCTGTTAACAATGTCTTTTGCAAAGCAAACACTTTTAATTTAGATAAAGTCCAATTTGTTGATTCTTTTTCTCTTATGGGTTGAAATCCAAAGTCCCAGAGATTTTTCTCCTGTTTTCTTCAAGAATTTTATAGTTTTATGCTTTTTCTTGAGTTTTTTTTGTTTTTGTTTTTTAGTAAGATTGAATATAATATTCTTTAAACTTTCACTTACTAACTGTTGATGGTCTCCCACATTAGGCATAGATGCTAAATATATTATAATTCTTACACACAGAGCACATTCATACATTTATATTAGGAATGATTTTAAGAGACAGTTGTATTGCTTTGACGTGGAAAAACTTTTCTTTTTATAAAGCAAAAGATATATCACTTTAAAAACATAAAACAATTTCTGTGATAAAAAAACAACATAATTAAGGTGAAAAAACCAAAGATAGACTGAGGAAGATATTTGTGTCTTATATACAAAGGGCTAATGTCTCTAATTTATTAAAGAAAACATTCCTGCAAAGTGATAAGCAAAAATGAGTAAAAGATATGAACAGGCAATTCTGCAAGAGGAAACCCAAACAGGCACCAAGCCCATAAAAGTCATTCAAAACAGATGGAAATGACAGCAGGACCCAGTTTTCATCCATGCTTGGTGAGCCCTACAAAGGGTGCAGACAGCCAGTTCATTCAGGCATGGATATGAGAAAACTGGGGGAGTCTTAATTGCTCCAGCTTCTTGGGAAAGCAATCCAGCAACATCTATTTAAGTTACTGAGGACACACTTTCTCACCTTGCTCCAATACATCAGCTCTTAGGAATAAAAACAGATGTTGCACCATTGTCTGAAGAAATGGCGTAAAGTGAAGTCTGAATGTACAGGATACACAGAATGGTTGAATTAATCATGGACAATCAAAACGATGGACAATTATGCAACTACTAAAATGAGAGTTGGAACCCTGTCAATATACTTTGACAGAGAGAAATGAGATGAGCATGCAGCAGAGTGACAGAAACAAAGTGACAAGAACAGAGCCATCCCATGTGTATAAAAGCAACTGCCACCTACTATCTGCTGTTAGGTTGGTGCAAACTTACTTGCGATTTTCGCAAGTTGACATGTGCCATTTAGCCGGGCTCGGTGGCTCAGCCTGTAATCCTGCGCCTTTGGGAGGCTTACGTGAGTGGATTGCCTGAGCCCACGGGTTCGAGACCCACCTGGGCAAGTTGGCAAGACCTCATCTCTACAATAAATCAAAATGAGCCGGGCATGGTAGCGCACGCCTGTAATTCCAGCTACTTGGAAGGCTGAGGTGGAAGGATCACTGGAGCCCAGCAAGTCGAGGCTGCAGTGGCCAGGAACGGCCACTGAATTCCAGTCTGGGTGACAGAGTGAGACTCCAACTCAAAAAAAAAAAAGAAAAGAAAAAGAAATGTGCCGTTTGATATTGGAATACATTCTTAATAGATGCGGTTATGCTATACATCATTTTAATGCGCATCTCTCACTTTATGTGTTTTTGCTGATAACCTATTACTTGCTGTTTAGTTTATATTTGTCTTAAGCTATAGAAACCATGTTAGACAAAAAGCAAACTCGAGCGATTTTCCTCTTTGAGTTCAAAATGGGTCGTAAAGCAGCAGAGACAACTGCAACATCAGTGACACATTTGGCCCAGGAACTGCTAAGGAATGGACAGTGCAGTGGTGGTTCGAGAGGTTTTGCAAAGGAGACAAGATCCTTGGAGATGAGAAGTGTCATGGCTGGCCATCGAAAGTTGACAAAGACCAACTGAGAGCAATCATCGAAGATAATCCTTACAACTACACAAGAAGTTGCCAAAGAACTCAATGTCGACCTTTCTGTGGTTGTTCGGCATTTGAAGCAAATTGGAAAGGTGAAAGAGCTCGATCAATGGGTGGGTGCCTTGTGAGCTGACTGAAAATCAAAAAGACTGTCATTTTGAAGTGTCCTTTTAGCATCTACAACATCTACACAACAACCATGAACCATAACAAGTGCATCCTATACATCATGACCAGCTCAGTGGTTGGACTGAGAAGAGCTCCAGACCATGTCCCAAAGCCAAACTTGGGGCAAAAACAGGTCATGATCACTGTTTGGTGGTCTGCTACCAGTCTAACCCACTACAGCTTTCCGAATCCCGGTGAAACCATGATATCTGAGAAGAATGCTCAGCACGTCGATGAGATGCACCGAAAACTGCAACGCCTGAAGCCAGCACTGGTCAACAGAAAGGGCCCGATTCTTCTCCACAACGCTCAACCACACATCACACAATCAACGCTTCAGAAGTTGGACAAATTGGGTTCATCTGCCATATTCCTCTGACCTCTTGCCAACCGACTACCACTTCTTCAAGCATCTCCACAACTTTTTGTGTAGAAAACGCTTCCGTAGCGCGCGCCTGTAGTTCCGGCTACTCGTAAGGCTGAGGCGGAAGGATCGCCGGAGCCCAGCAGGTCAAGGCTGCGGTGGCCGGGAGCGGCCACTGCACTCCAGTCTGGGCGACAGAGTGAGACTCCAACTCAAAAAAAAAAGAAGAAGAAGAAAGAAAGAAAACGCTTCCACAAGCGTTTTCCCTGCAAAACGCTCAGGATTCACCGGCTCAGATACTGAGGTGTTGTAAATACCCCGGGGGTCATCTCAAACACCCACTCACCTCATCCCGCTGCGATGTAAGCATGACTGTTGGGGCTGGAGCTCCCAGGCATGAGCTCCACTCCTCACTGGCCCTGGGAGCTTGCAGGTTGGTCCCGTGGCAGTGGCATTTCGGGCTAAGGAGCCTAATGCACTGTCCCCACAACCAGCAGGAAGCAGAAACTGCTTTCCAAGAGTTTGTTGAGTCCCGAAACACCAATTTTTTGCTCTGCAGGAATAAACAAAGGTACTTCTCATTAGCAAAAATGTGTTGATTATAATGGTTCCTATTTTGATGAATAAAGCTGTGTTTGAGCCTAGTTACAATGATTTAAAATTCACAGTCCGAAACTGCAATTACTTTTGCACCAACCTGAGCTAGGGATCCAGCTGGCCTAGGGGAGGAAGGCCATTGTTAATCTTTGCATTATCCCACTTCTTATAAAGAATGCTTAATCCTTTTGCAATAAAAACTTTAAATGGAGAGGAAAATAAGTCCAGAGCAAATACTTATACAGAGTAAAGATGGATACAAGCCCGTCCCCTGAGCTCCTGGAGTCAGAGTCACCAGGGTGGGCCCGGGAATCTGAATGTGAAGACAGCTTTTAGGATAATTTCTGTGCCCTGTTGGGATACAAGTGGTGGACATGCCATCACGTTTTGAGCAAGCTCTGGGTTTCCCCCCCCTCCTAAGTTCTTGACTTCTTGTACGCAGGGGTCCCACCACCCTGTCTTTCCTGGCCTGTCACCGTGTATTAGGGGGAAAGCATGGTGGGAGGAGTGTCTCTTGCCGGTCCCTGTGCCTGCCACCTGTTTGATTCTTGACCCAAGTATCGCCTGTGACTCTGGGGAGAGGCCCGGAGCCTGAGGTGGGGACACCTGAACTCAGCCCCAAGCAGAGTTACCACTCAGGAGCATTCACTGTCTCAGATACTGGGGTGTTCGCCCTGGGGGGGTCATCTTAAACACCCACTCACCTCAACCCGCCTCGATATAAGCATGATGGTCAGGGCTGCAGCTCCCAGGCATGAGTGCCACTCCTCATTGGCCCTGGGAGCTTGCAGGTCAGTCCCATGCCCGTGGGAGTTTGGGCTAAGGGGCCTGATGCACTGTCCCCACTCTCCACAGCGAGGAAGAGCCCCACGCTGCTAGAGGTGAGCCCTGCCCACTTCATGAGAACCAACAGCTTTGCTGAGGACCTGGACCTAGAAGGGGAAACACTGCTGACACCCATCACTCACGTCTCACAGTGAGTACCCCTCGCTCGAAGGGGCCACGACGGAGGGGCGCGGGACTCAGAGGCCACCTCGGTAATGGGGAAGGCTGACTCTCTGGCCGGGACACTGTCTACTCACCCCGTGCCCACCACTTGCCACCTGGCCCCAGTGCCTGGGCACCAGACAGGAGAGAACAGGGGCACTTCCCGCCGAGTCTGGGAACATGATCCTCTTGTTTTGACTTATGGAAAATCAGACTGATCGTTTTCCACTTGTTTTCATGCTTCGAGCGTCTGAGATTGTTTTTCTCTCCCCTAACCCCCTCCTCCACCGCCCCCCGAAAAGAGACGACTTTGTTTTTTAGCATTTCCCCATGGAACCCTGGCCAAAGCCACAGGGCAGATGCCGGGTGCAGTCTGCCAGTTGCTGCTGCTGTCCTCAGGGGTTCCTTCAGGTGGGGGAAATGGCTGATTTTCCACGCCTTCCAGTTGGCCTTCCCCTGAGGCACAGCTGGCCTGGGACGCATGCCCAGCCTCCCCCGCCGTCACGGCACCACTAGGCCAATCGCCGGTGCCCAGCCATGGTGTGATTTCCCTGCGACGTGTGACTCAGTACTCCCAGCTGGAGCTCCCAGCTAGAGCACCCAGCAGTGACAGCAGTGGTAGGGCTGGTGGGGTGCTCAGGCCCATTCTGGCTGCCACCCCGTTGGGGACTCCCCCTGAGAAGTCTGTCTGTGTCAGAATGTATGAGCGACAGCCTTGGCCCTTCTGAAGGTCTCCTGCTGGGGCTCTTTCCTTCTCGACCAATGTTTCTCTAAAGGGGGTTTTGTTCTCAATACTCTTTGGGGTCAGAAGGTTGGCCCAAGCGGTGTGTGCCTTTGTTGCAGTGAGATCCTAGACCTCCTGTGTGGTTACCAGTCAAGTGCAGGCTTGGCCTTGCAGGTGACTAAGGAAATTGGGACCCGCCGTACTGCGAGTTGCTTGTGAAACTGGAAGACTGGCAGGGCTGGGTAGCCAGAAAGAGGCCACCCCCAGGGGAAGGTGGGCTGTCTTAAGGTAGAGTCATGATCACACAGGACCTGCCCATCTTTCCAAAACTCCAGGTTCACAGGGAGGTTGGCAGCACCCTATGGTTGGCAGACCATGGAGCGTGCACGGGCCCCAGAGGCCAGTGGGTCACTGGCAAGCAGGTGCAACTCACCACGGATGCCCTGAGAACAGGGCTTGATGGGTTGGCTGGGTAAATGGCAGGAGAAGAGGTATGAGCAGGGAGGCAGCCAGACAAGCTGGGCAGGTGCAGGTTAGCACTGAAGACAGAACTATGGCTTACACTGTGGCTAAGGCCTACACCAAGTCTGGGGTGTGAGAGGCCCCAGTGTTAAATGTCAGTTTTAATAGCTGATGTTGTGTGCAACATGCGTGGCAGTGCCTGGTCAAGTGTATACTAGAACCATGGCAGGCCTGAGTTCGGGCCCAGGCGTCACCTAGGCCTCACATGGCCACTCAGCCTGTCCCTTTTTGTCCCCCTGGCCATTTGTCGCTCCTGTAGGAGCTCATTCTCCTTGGTTCTCTTGGCCATGGACCAACCCACACACAAAATGCTGCACTGGGCGGTCAGGGCTGTCAACCGCCGTTCATCTAGCTGGGCAGTCAGGCCTCACCAGCTCCTAGGTCCTAAGAGACCCATGCAGGGAGGCCCTGGTGAGGGTGGTGAAAAATCGGGCACTGGTATGAACCACAGGCAAGCCTGCAGCTGCCGTCACCGGCCCTGTACAGACAAGACTGCCTAGGGTGGCACTGACACATACCAAGCTCCCTAGAGCCAAAGGATACCCACCTGCCCTAAGGTGACCCCAAGCCAGTGTGGCTGTTGTCTGGAGCACTGCGCCGTGCCTTGCCCCCTTCCAAGACAGTGGAGTCTAAGAGACCTGAGTGTCCCCAGTGCTCTGCCTGCTGTGTGAGTGGCATATCAGTCCAGCAAGCTGCTGTAGGCCTTTTTGGGCCGGTACTCCCATGACCAGTTGCAGTGGGTAGTGGTCCCTCTGTTGCTTCCAGTGATATGTGGGTCCAGGCAGAGCAGAAATCTGTTATCGCCCAGTCGGGTCCCTGCCTAGGAGCTTCCAGGGCCTTCCCCAGAGCAGGCCCTTCCAAAAGCAGCGGCTGGCTGTGAGCCAGCCTGAGAGGCCAGAAAGGAGCCCAGGCATGGTTCTGGGGTGAAGGATCTGGGATGGGGGAGGGAGAGGGCAGAACGAAGCCCTGGCAAAGGGGCCGACTTGAGGCATTGTGGTCTGGGCGGGGAAGTCGGGCTGTGGCGCCATCACATCTGGGTGCCTGCCTCATCCCTCCAGGGATGCCAAGAGGGGAGGGTGGGATACAGGCAGTTAGTGTTGGGACCTAGGAACCCAGGCGCCCTCAGCACTACTGGCTCAGCAGAGGCCCAGCCTCACCTAGGGGAGAAGGCAGGCAGCAGCGGGTGCCATGCTTCCTCAGGCCCAGATGTCTGCAGGGCGGGCTAGGCCAGGGTCTTCCTGTCCGCACTGGGGCCGCACTCCTCCTCCTCCTGCACACCCCACCTGGTGATCAAGGCCCGCAGTTAAACACGGCTCCAGCTGCTTGGGGACACAGTGAAGCTCCCGTGGGCAGCCCGGCCCCATGGTTCCTGAGCGGGGAAGAGGCACCCGCCCTGGTGTGTGTGCAGAGGTCTCACAGGGGGCAGATTGGGTGGGAGGCTGTTACCGAAAAACATTCATTTTTCTTCAGCATTTTACTGATGTTAAATGTATTACCATGCTGGGCCAGTTCCAGAATTCAAATTAAAAGCATAAATAAAGACACATTTTGTTTCCATCGAGCTCTCCCCGCCCGCAGGGCCCCAGGGAGGTGAGGTCACTACAGCCTTGATTACGGGAAGGTCCCAGGGGCTGGGCGAAGCTTCTCTTTCCCGGGCTCGTTAGCCAGGAGTGGGGCACGGGGCAAGGAGGCCTGGGGCAGGTTAGGGAGTCACTGCGAGCCCAGGGTACCAGGAGGACAGAGTAGCTGTGCCACCCCGGCCTGGAGGCAGGCCCAGCTGCTCCCATACAGCCCAAGGGCCTCACCTGGCTCTGGGTGGCCAGGCCTTAGGCTCACACACACCTTTCAAGTGGAAGCGGGCTTCCCAAGTTCAGCAGGGAGCAAGGGAGGCCTGCTGGCCTCCAGCTCCCTGTGTCTTCGACCCAGAGCCCTTCTGCAGGGCTTCTGGGGGGCAAGCGTGAAGAAGGCTATAGGCCTGGGTGGCCGGTGGGGTGGGCCTCCACATAAAGGAAAGGGGAGTCCTGCACCCCAAAAGTATCCAGGATGAGTTCCTGGGATCCTGCCCCACTCACTGTCGTCCACTTACCGAGAGTCTCTGGCAGAACGGTGGGGGGGAGGTTGTGTGCGTCCCAGTGCCTTGCATGTGGTGTCCTGCCACTCCTCTGCAGCCATCAGTTTCCCACCATCTTTCCAGCATTGCTCAGTTGTCCTTGCCTCAGTGAGGTCCCCAGGATGCCCTCAGGCCCAGCTTTGGTCTTTGGATCTTGAAGCCCCAGCACCAGCTCCCTGAGCCCTTGGAACAAGCCTAGGAGGGAGCAGGGCAGGTTCAGCCCCTCCAGGACTGGCCCGGAATTTACACATCTGCCCCATCCGCTGTACCCGAGACAGAAGACCCAAGCGGCCAGGACCATGAACCCAGTAGCCCAAGGCTTGGCCCAGCCCAGCCAGGTAGTTTCCCTGAAGGGCCCCTCTTTCTGTTGCAGGCAAGCCCCATCTGTTGAATGTATAGACACCCCCCACCCCCTGCCAATCCCACTCTGCGGGTGACCATTCAGGGAGCATTCTGCCCACGGAGATGGGTACAGGGCAGGACCAGGAGCCCCTGAGCCTGGGCAAGGGGAGGGGAAAGAAGGCAGAGGGAAAGCTGCCGAGACCCCCACCAGGTGACCGTGAGCGCCTCCCTGGTGAGCATGTGCTTGCCCGGCCTCTTGCGACATGACAGCTTCGCAAATCCTTGAGCAAAACCAGTCCCGTGTGCGTTAATTAGAATTTCCATGTCTTCAACTTTCTCCTGGACCCTGCAGAATCTCACGCCAAGACGTTCAAGTTGCTCTTTTCCAGCGAGGCCGCTGTGTCCTGGCTTTCATCCACATCACTACTAACGTCTCCTGAATTCTGTGTTTGTCAGTGAGGCCAGGGCCAGTCTGTGCCTTCTGGAAATAGGGGCAAATGTCACAAGCCTGGCCCCAAATTTGGCTCCATGGACCCTGCAGGCTAGCTTTTTTGCTGGGACCAGCTTGGCTTGGGACAGTTTGGAGAAACCCGGGGCTACTGCGGCCCACACTACAGACAGACCCAGGGCCCCAGGCATTGCAACTCCATGACCGCCTGAGCTCCTAGCCTTGTTTCTCACCCTGTAAACTGGTGGGAACGGATGAAGAGGCCATTCCGGGACCCGTGTCCAGGGGGATGCGGGAGGGGCTTGCCAAGAACAGATGAGACCATTTTGTCTTTCCAGACCGGCGTCTTGTCTTCTGCAAAGCTCCAGACCACCTCTGTCTGCACGAGGTGCCAAGGAAGCCCCACGGGAGCCCACGCAGGAGGGCTGTACAGGGCTGCGTGAGTCACAGGATCCCCGTCAGAGCCCCAACCAGGCTCAAGCCGTCTCTGAAATGCACGGGGGGATTAAATGTTCTCCTAATTAAATTAAAAGCGAGGCAGAGTGGCTCAGTGGGAATGAGATGGGACAGGGAATAGACGCCCTCCATCTGGCTCTCAGTCCTCCCTGGTCCAGCTGCGGTGCCCCCGGTGGCCTCCTAACCTTTCCAAGCCTCACTTCCTCCATCTGGGCACGTGAGGACAATGTGGCTGGCCTCCTGGGGCCACTGCTTTGGCGAGGGGACCACATCATCTCAGTGGACGGGCCAGAGGAAAGCAGTGAGGCGTCTCACTTCCTCCGCAAGGGAGGGGCCATCCTGATCACCCTGGCCCAGGATGCTCTGACCAGGACCAGCCCTCTCCACTTGT